GTGTAACCGCACCGCCGGCGCCGCTGCCGCCACCAAGTTGGACGGTCCCGCCGCCGCGTCCGCCAGTGGTCGTGCACAGTCGCATCAACGATCGATCGCTCGATCGCCACGTACATTTTTAGGTACTAATCCTACGCAACGCATTTATTGTTCCTTATGTAAAGGTGATTCACATTCTCAATTATATAAATGCAAACAATTTTCAACTTTCACAATTAATGATCGATTTAATTATATTAAAACTAACCGTATGTGTACTAGATGTCTAAGTAGTCAACATAACTCTTTCAGTTGTCAATCAACTTCCGCCTGTCGAAATTGTAACAATCCGAGACATCATACGTTGCTTTGTTTTAAAAATAATAATTCCGCACCTACGCAAGTATCTCAGGGTACGAAAAACGCACAGACATCTTCTACGCACGGTCGCCAATTACCACCATCTTCTTCGTCGCAATTGCCTCCGCTTGCGCACACACAACCCACACAACAGACACGATTAGAACCAACTCCCGTTCCTATTGGAACCACCACTGGTGGAGACAAGGAGTCGTTATGCACGCTTTCATCGTCCATTCATGAGCAGCCGTATGTGACTGAAGTACTTGCTACTGCCAAGGTATTTGCTACTGCTCGTAATGGGAGTGATGTTGTCATTCGCTGCTTATTGGACCCCGGGTCACAAAAGCATTATATTACTTCTAAGTGTTGTTTAAAATTGGGTTTAACCATGCAGCCGGACGCACATACCACCGTTAAGGGTATCAGGAACGAGGTGGCGCCACTGAACCAGTTAAGGGTGCAGTTGATCTCTCTTTCCGATCGAGATTTAATCATGAGCAATATTATAATATTCGCGCTTTAGTTTTGAATAAAATAACAGGTAACTTACCAACATGTCAAATTGATGTTGGCGCGCTCAGTTACTTAACTAATATTCCGCTCGCAGATGATACGTGGGGAACACCATCAGAAATTGACCTTTTGATTGGTGTCAACCTATTCGCGAGCCTTTTGTCAGGAGGTAAAATTATAAATTCACTTGGTACTCCAAACGCGTTGGAGACTGTTCTCGGTTATCTTATTTTAGGTGAAGCTCCCACCTTAACTTCTACGTCTTCTTCATTCTCGTTCTGTTCCACCACTTCGTGCGAGGTTTCAGTATTAATTCGCAAATTTTGGGAGATTGAAGAAGTAGATCGCAAACCAATAACAAGTATAGACGATAAATACTGTGAAGATTTTTATACCACAACGACCACTCGTAACGAATCAGGTCACTACGAAGTCGCTTTACCATTTAAGTATAGTTCTAAGTCTTTAGGGAACTCTTTCGATATCGCTAAACGCAGATTTTATCATTTGGAACGTAAATTCGCATCAAAACCGCAACTGAAATACCTTTATGATGAGGTAATTCACGAATATATAGAAAAACAATATATTTCTCCCGTAGACGTAATTGAAAATAACAGCCCTAGTTATTTTATACCGCATCACGCAGTCTTACGTGAGGACAAAGTGTCCACGAAAATAAGGCCGGTACTAGACGCAAGCGCGAAGTCTAGTACTGGATTTTCGCTTAATGATATTCTACATACAGGTCCTTCCTTACAACAGGATTTATTTATTATTCTCTTGAATATGAGATTGTTCGCAGTCGCCATCTCAGCTGATGTGCGACAAATGTATTTACGAATAAAAGTTCGCCCGCAAGATCGTTGTTTTCAACGTATTGTATATAGATTTAGTCCTAATAAACCGCTCCAAGTCTTTGAATTTAATAAAGTTGCATTTGGCTTACGTTGCAGCCCGTACTTAGCGTTACGTACTGTAGCTCAGTTAGCTTCCGATGAAGGAAATAAAAACCCTATCGCACTGGTTACCATTGAAGATTCTATGGAACCTTATTTATATTCGCTCGCTCGCAAATTTTCGTCATGGATGAAATTACTTCGTGTAATTTGTTATATTTATAAGTTCGCTAACATTCTTCCACGCGGCGTCATATCCAGTTCCGATTTGGATTTCGCCGAACGTATAATTATTCGCGCTGTGCAGGGGTTTCATTTTAAAAACGATATTAGCAAGTTAAATAATAAAAAACCTTGTACCGCATCAATAATTAAATTAAATCCATTTTTATCAGACAATCTCTTAAGAGTTGGTGGTCGTCTGACTCATTCTGATGAAGATTTCGATTATAAACACCCTATATTACTTCCGGGCAGAGATCATATAGTTCAATTAATTGTAACACACTTTCATCGTAAAACCTGCATACAGGCCCAGAATTGTTAATGTCAATACTACGTACTAAATATTGGATTCTCGCAGCTCGACGTATGATTCGCACGATCGTAGCTAATTGTAATATTTGTTTCCGCAATAAACCGCGTCCTACATTCCCACCGATGGGTGATCTGCCTGCACTAAGGGTGAAGGAAGTTCCTAAAGCCTTTGTCCATTGTGGCTGTGATTTCGCAGGTCCGTTTTTTGTAACCCCTTATCGCGGTCGTGGTATAACCACTCGCAAAGCATACGTTTGCTTATTCACGTGCTTAACCACTCGGGCTGTTCATATTGAGCTCGCAAGTGAATTGAGTACAGTTTGTTTTCTCGCCGCGTTAAAACGTTTTCTCGCTCGCCGCGGTCCTATTCAATGCATGTATACGGATCATGGTACTAATTTTATAGGGGCACGATCCTACCTACGTGAACTTTATTTGTTTTTATCGCAAGAATGTAGATCTGTTTGGGATAGGGAATTAGCTAACAATGGAATTAAATGGACCCTTATCCCTCCTAACGCACCGCATTTTGGAGGATGCTGGGAAAGTAATATAAAATGTGTCAAAAGCCATCTAAGTAAAGTCATTGGGCTACAAATTTTAACCTTTGAAGAACTTACGACTGTTCTTACACAAATAGAATCGCTATTAAACTCTCGCCCATTGACCGTCTTAAGTTCAGATCCGTCGGACCTGGAAGCATTGACACCTGCTCATTTTCTTAACACTATACCGCTAAAACACTTCCCAGCACATGACGTAAGTGACGCTATTCCTCATCTTTTGAAACGACACGAGCTTTTAGACCAACTCGTTCAATCGTTTTGGAAGAGGTGGCATCGGGAATATTTGCATACGTTGCAATTGAGACGCAAATGGAACACGCCGGCCTTTCCTATCCAGGAAGGCACGATAGTAGTTGTTATGCAGGAGAATTTAACTCCATTACATTGGCCTCTTGGTCTTATAACACGAGTTTATAAGGGTAAGGATGGCATTATTCGCGTTGCCTCAGTCAAAACAAAGGCTGGTATTTTTCAAAGGCCAGTGGTAAAATTATGTCCATTGCCTTTGCAATAATATGTATTCTATAAGATAAGTAGTACGCATTTATAATAGGTTAATAAGTTAAGTTAAAATCCTTTGCATTTTTCTTATTTAGTAAATTCCGCATTTGATATTTTTTGTATTTTTTCTTTCTTGTTTTTTGTATTTGTCGCATTCGCAATAAGGTTCAATTGTGTAGTTCCTTTATTTTTTTTTTTCTTTTGTTAATTTTACTTTGACATTATGTCAAGGCGGGGGGCATGGTTACGCCAAACGCGATGCGTACCTGGTTTGTTGATGTGCATTGACACCCCTCCCGGCTAATTCAATAATCAGTGATGTCATAGCTTTCGCCGCGCGCGCACGTCGCACTCATATCGCACGCATGTCTTAATAGTTGTAATCAACCTGAGTGAATTCCTGAGATTCCCGTAACCGTGTGGGCCCACTGAAGAACAAGCACATTGAAGTAGGGTAAGTCATTCATATACGACCAGCCAGTTTCCTATACAACAATATAGTCCATCGAAGAAGGCTAGATCATAGCCACCGCCGCACCAGTAACCGTGATATCGTTGTTTGAGCTATAGCGTTACTTGGTATATCTCTATACGTACTTGGTAAAAAATAAGAGGTATACGCAGATACCTTTTATAGGGCACTAATTTCTGATCACCTGTTATTTCTATTTAGTTTATCTATATTATTTATTATTTTCGTTGTCTTTAGTGTAAAATATTATATAACATTTATTTTATATTCTCCCTTAAACTCGATCTTTCAACGACTTTTGTAATAACTATGTCATTTAAATGCAAATCACATTTGTTGTCCTGACCTATAAATCTAGTAAAGGAAATGTAAATTTCAAAAAATAAAATTTAAAGACTATCTCCTTGGTTTCTAAGCAAGGCTTTGTATTATATATTCGTGTTATCTTATATACAGAACTACATTTTATTACTAAAATAGTGATATGGTAAGAATATAATAAAATCCGCTTCCTTTTCGTCTTTAAAATGAAAGCAACTAACTCACGAGAAAGTAAAATTAAAGCTAGCCTAGTAATAGTAGGATAGATACATTTTTTATGAATCGGCAGTACTGTATATCATCCATACACCACCACCTCCCATAATTGATGTCATGCCAAAGATGATTATAGAAATAATTAATGACAGTAGTTAAGATACTCATCCTGTTGCATCGTTAAATATTATAAAAAGACAAAGTTTCATCCCTAAAATGTGTTTCAATAACCTTTCTAAGAATTGATTCGTTTACCGTTTGAAGACCTCACGAATCCCTGTTACAGTAGCCTCATTATTTTCTGATCCGTGTTTTTTCTGGACAAAAGTTGATTTTGTCTATAATGATTATATCTTTTTCAACAATTTAATAATGTGTTCTTATTTTATGTGTGTTTATAAGATGCTACAACTGAAAGATTTCGCATTAAATGATTTATGGTTTTTAAGGGATAGTAATTAATTAATAATACTAAAGTATTGAAGCTATTTCAGTATGAAGGACGAGATCAGGGCACTGAATTATTGATACTAAGGCTTATATAATTAACTCAGACAAGGATAAAGAAAAATAATATAAGACCGTACGTTATAGGACAAGTTTGGGTTTAATTTTTCCTTTTTTTTGTTTCAGGTTAACGATGCAACACCTCCTCAGCATCACACTTATCACCATCGCAGCGGACCGCGCCTACTCCCAAGAGGAACACCAAGGGCCCCAAACCTGTGGGGGCCATTTAAAAGGCCCCTTTGGGGTCATCCAGACTCCGAATTTCCCCAACCCATTCCCCGTACCGATAAAGTGCCGATGGATTATAGAACACGATATTATGAATGGTACTATATCTGTATATTTCACGCAGCAGTATACAACAAGTGGTTTAACGTTCACGGAATACATGTATTACGATGAATTCTACAAGCTTGGGGAACGACGAGCTTTGACAGTAACAGAAGAAAACATAACGAAGATCAAATGGCTTCAGGTAAGTACTTGATTCTTGAAAGAACCCAACTAATAAATATTATAAGTTTAATAAAAAAAATTGAACTTATTTTTATAATAATAATGAAATACAAATCATTGGTAGGTACATCAAATATAACATAAAGAATTTTATTCACAACCTAACTAGATTTTGTGTATAGAAAACTAAACAATTTCCCCATGGAAAATGGAAATAAATCATTCACGTGACCACATGTGACGTATGAAAATTATAAGAATTTTTATTCTTGAGATTTTAGAATTTCATGAATACTAACGATTTTTGATATTTAAGATTCTTAAAGGGAAATTGAAGGACCATTAAGACTTATAAAATATCTCAAATTAATAAAATATATTTCAAATAATTATTCCTATACTTAATATTTTTATACCTTTACATCAATACTATCTCTTCATCAATGTATGTGATAAGGTATGTTATGGTATGTTAAGGTATATATAATGATTAATGAATTAGAATGATAATTTCGCGGGTACAACATGTGTCGAAACAAATCTGTAATACACATAAATACACATATGTATATAAAATAGCTACATCAGCAAGTCTTTAATTAAAATACACAGATAGATAGATTAGATTTAAATACACAGATATGGAAATTCTTTTGCATTTATAATGTTAGTATGGATTTATCAAAACGAATTACATAGCCACTGCGTTATTTTTGACTCCGAAAGAGAAACATATCATTAAAAGTTTTTATTTTGACAAAAAGAAGTACCTACGTTAATTTCACGAGCGAAGCAGCCTGTGGGAAAGGGGTTAATAATGTACAGCATTCCTGTAATTATTCAACATAACGAGTTTGTCGTCAAGTGTACCCGTGCTCTCACTGAAATGTTGACTTTTAACTTGGGCAAAGAGAATGCGGTCGGAGGTTCTATTTAATCGAGTACACATTATTAACTCTATTTTTAACCGACTTAAAAAGAACGAGGTTCATGTTAGTCAAGTTTTTTTTTATAGGTGTGCTATGCAATTTCTATATGTACTTTGTTTTAAGATATATATAATACTAACTCAGTCATTCATTCATTCATTCATTCCTCTTGTGATGAATCTGCATTCCGAATGAGTGGTAGAATCAAAAAATCAGTTATAATTTAGTCTTTGTTGAAATTCATCTACCCATTTTTTCACAATTTCGTTAAAGAACAAGAGGAAAATAGAAGTCCATCAATTTTAGAATAGTTGATTTTGTGTCTACATATTATTTATCTATATCGAGAACATTTCTGATAGAATCAAATATACAAGTGTTGTATCCATTTCTTTATTTATATACCCAGTTCTTTTTCCGGGTGGTAGCGACTAACAGCAGCATATTAATATTTTTTGCCATTCCAAATGATAACTGTATGCGAAATTGCATAATTATTTGTTAACCCATTGAATCAACAATGTACCTCGAAGCATTTATAATACTGTTCAAGATTATTTTACAGAATAAATGCATTATAATACCATGTCAGAAGCAGATTTCACCCTCTTTTAACATTTTTAATTAAAATGCATAATTTTATTAAGTATCGCTTTTTTCACAATATTGCTATTAAAACGTATACGGAATCTGTTACATACCTAACTGAAACATACAAAGGCAGGTGAACATATTACGGTCCATTTAATTTGATACAAAAACAGCAATATTATATGTAAAAAAAGCGTCCTTGATTTTTATAATAGTTCCTTTCATGTCGAAATTGTAAAATAGAGAATGAACCTCGTAAGTTAAAGGAATCTATATACATGCCCGCATATTTCAAAATGTTCCTTATTACCTTTGGCAGTAGCTATAGCTTTACAATAATTGTTTACTAGAAAGTATTTTACTGGAATATATTTCATCTATTAAAAAAAATATTGTATAGATTATAGTATTTTTATTTGACATAAGTTTTCAAACCTATAATAGAACAGAATAAAACAGACAAACAGAACAGATTTAACAATATTTTGTTAAATCTGTAGGAATAATTTTAATCAGTCACACCCATTTTAGCCGCCAAACAGCTTGCCTTATAAGATTGAAGGGTGCAGAGCAGTAAAATTACTGCATTAGAGGCGAGACATCTTAGTGCTCTGAAATAGCAACGCATTAGTGATATCGCTGTTTACATGATAAAGTAATGTTCATAATATCGTTCCTGTATATAGATGACGCTTACCGTCGAGTCATCAGCTTGTTTGCTATTCCAATTATATAAAATAAATGGCTGATAATTTTTTGACAACATGCAAGGCGTTGTAAAATATAATAGTATCCACAAATGCAAACTTTCTTCGTATTCTAAATATATTCACCCCTTGTCTTTGTCCGAATAGAAAATTACGTTATATGCTGTACCATTTATTGGACTTCCAGTTGATATTACAAGGCACCGACAGCAAAGTAAACCTATTACAGAAATAATTGAGAACTGTACGCGGCATTGGCTGGTGGCCGCAAAATGGCCATTTCTCGTTGCGGGAACAATAACGTAGGTGGATATAACGGAAATAATCTTGGCTGAAATGTTTTTAGTGTGACTATAGCACTGCTAACAGAAATAACAAAAGAATGGTGATTTATATTAAATTCTTAATAGATTTTATATTGCGTAAACCTATTATATTCCCGTTATATTTCTATTATATAATAAAGTTTAAATAATGATTATATTGAATTGTGGAGAACATAGGTTTTTTATAACGTTAATAAAAGGAAGGATTTAAAAAAAGTTCCGATATAACAAAAGCATACGTGCAAATCGTCGGGAATAGCTAGTGTAATCTTTATTTTTATATTACATAATATATCACAAAATCTTGATTAGGCGAAAAGTTATTTAAATATTTATGTCTTTCATATAAATACTGCTGACGATTCATGTATAATAAAAACGATGATTTTTTTAACAGAAAATGTTGTAGGTAAACATATAGACTAAAGATAGTTCGCCCAAAAGAGATAATAATAAATGTAGTAAAGTTATATAATACGCCACCTATCTTATAATTAATTCTTTTATCAAATAATAATAATAATACCTCAGGATAATTCACACAACGCCATCGAGTCCCAAGCTAAGCAGAACTTGTGTTATGGGTACTAGACAACTGATATAAATATATGGATGCATTTTTTTTTGTAAATAAATACATATTATACATAGGAAACACCCAGACCGATACAAACAATCATACTCATAAATACAGAATATTTGTACCGTGCGAGGAATCGAACCCGCGACCATCGGATAGTAAAGCGTTATGCTAAACTAGATCACCGAGGCACAAGCCACGCTAGCAATTCTCCCACTATGAGAGCATTGCAATTATTAAATTTATTTTTAGGTAAGGTCCAAGATGCTGACGTTTATACAGAAGCCTTGCCTTCCATAATTAATAAAATAAGAATATTTTATCATCGTATAATTAGTTTTAAAATATAAACGTATTTGCAATTAGCTGTAAGTTTATATTGTGTTAATTAAATAAATAAAAATAAATAAACGATACCGTATAGATGCTTTATTTATTGTTGTTAATACTTGGTTATGTACAAAAGTAAATACGTATGAAATGACGTGCACTACTGGTAAAGGAATATACAAAATCAGGTCAGATTAAATTCAAAAACCCCGAATGTTTGATGTTAGCCAAAAATCACCGATTTGCACCAACGTTTTTGAATGGCCGATTCACGGTTGGATGGGTGTACAACGGATTCTTGTTCGCTGTAGAGGTTTTGATTGCCAAAATTGCGGTTCAAAGCTAAACCACTATGTAGGTATAAGTACGATACCTAATGCCACTATTTATCCGAATTTTAATATTATAGATAGAGTATCGATTAATCGTTCCTACTTCGCCATTCTTGAGCAATATCTACAATATATACATGTAATAAATATATACATAAAAGCTCTGTATTAGAACCCGAGAATAATATAGAACAATTATTAGAATTATTGTCACTGCACGAATTTTCATACAAACTGTCATCCCCTATTTAATTTTACCCCCTTAAGGTTTTTTTTGTCACAAATTTTGATAGTCATACTTATTTATATTCAATCAACAGCCAAAAAATAGGCTTTATAAAATACGATACCTCTATACAACTTTAATGTCTCCTTTTACCACCTTACAATCCTTTATTCGCATTAGAAATGTTCTTTCTTAGGGTCTAGACCAGAGGTTACAATTTTTTTGTGTCGTAGACACCTTGCCTTATTTTTCGGTTTTGGTTAGACCCCCCATTATTACTGGTTTTATTTTTTTGTAAATTTCTCACTGTAGTAAAGTTTAGTGTTAAAAACAACAAAATGACCGCTGTCGTAGACCCCTTGCAGTTTGTCATAGACCCCTGGGGGTCGATATAGACCACTTTGGGAATCACTGATTTATACATTAAATTTAATTTAAATCGGTCAGCGTGACAGATAGACACATAGAGTAACTTTCGCATTTATAATATTAGTAAGAATGATTGGTATACAGTACACCTTTAGTACAAGGTCTTTATTATGGATTATAATATTACTAATATTTGACATCAAAATAGATATATTTAACAGAAATCTATGTATTTCAAAGTAAAAGCATGCGAAGTCGCGGAAATATCTTGTACTTATATTATTTTCTAGAATACATTTCACTTTAAATCACATATCAAGATTGTACCTTTACATCTATTGAAAGTTCGAATATGAAATTATGCATTCTATTAGCATCTTTCCGAGGCGGTTTTTACCTCGAATACTGCTCTTGGTCCTTCATTGGACGTGACAAGAATTGCGATTTCTTTTCTGAGATGATTTCAAGATAACTAAATTCTATATGTCATATTTGTTTTAATTGTTAGCGAAATTTAATGTGACACGGTATTTTTAGAACTTATATTCATTTGGCACCAATATTGCATAACTCCATATATAGACGGCCTCGGTAGTCTAGTGGTAGGCACCGCCTTACTTCCGATAGTC